ACTTTAAAACTTTAGAAGTCAGTATAAAACTGATTTCTCCCATGGAGTCTTGGAACTTTTTACACCACAACACACCATCAGGTGGGCAATATGCTTGTTGGCCCCAAATTAAGTTGAAAAAGATACCTAAATTAGTAAAGTAGGATGCGGATATGGATTAAACAAAACAATTTATTATATATTCGTTCAATATTTGTGTTAAATATATTGAATGATATCATTATATTAAAGTCAAGTTCAAATCACATAACACAGTTAGAGATAAAGTGACAAACACTTCATTCGTATTGTAACAACGAGAACTCATGATAGATTTAGCAGAGATAAACTCGGACGATCAATAAACAGTCGTGATTTTAATATAATTGTGTCGATTTATGATGAATTCCAATAAATTATTTATGTATTATGGAATCAAGGAACACAGTCGCACGTTGTTGCAATTAAGAACTAGAATTTAATTGTAGCAGAATACGTTTATTAATTCTTTTATTTACCAGCACATTTTTACATTATTTATAGCATAGAAAAAATGTATTTATCATACAAGTTTACAAGTCTTATTTTTGCCACGACTTGAAGCCCAGGTCCTTTTTCAATGTCGTCTTTATTTATGTTATACAAAATTAAATCAAAATCAGATTAATATTTAAGTAGTTTTAAGTATAACAGAAAGACAGTACTTAAGTTAAGTAAATAAGAATAATAAATCGCTTTACAATAATTAACAGATTAAACATACCTAATTGAAATATACCACAAAGATAGTGAATTCACAGTTTATTTAAACGGAACTTATTCCGGATTAAAATTTAACTCAGACAATACTTATTAAATGTCTTCGCTATTCTGTCAGCAAAACAGATCAAAGTTTCAAAATCTTAAAAAAAAAAAACTTTTTTCTTTGTTTATAAAACCTAGCAGTTAAATGCTTCATCATTATCATCAACAGCCTATCTTAGTCCACTGCTGGACTTGGGCCTTTCCAAATGCACGCCACTCAGATCGATCTTGGGCTACTCGCATCCAGCTCCTGCCAGCCACCTTGCGCAAATGCTTAAGATAAATATAATAAAGATCAAAGTTTAATGAAATTATAATCAACTTATCAGCGTCAAAAAGTCTGTGTCTTGTTTATTTGAGCCTGAGATTTGAACAAACTGAAACAATGTGTTCAAATCTCAAAAAGTCTGTGAGTTATTTAAATGAATAAAACACCAAAATCTGTGGCAAAGGTTGTCTACAGTGCTGCCAACCCGAATTTTAGAAAATTAGTAGATTATGTGCCAAATGTTGGTAGAAGTTGGTAGAATGTAAAATGCAAAATTGGTAGATCTACCACCTCAATTTAGAAGATTTTTTAAGATTAAAAATGCATGCAATGCAATGCAGAGCACACTCCAGATCACATCTACATGATTTGCAATAAAAATATCCGTCACCCTTAGTAATTTCTTGAAGCCAACCTGCAAATTCCATGTCTTTCTCCCATAATTTCGAATATTTTTGGTCATACTTTTTTCTAGGTTTTCGTGGCGGAGTTCCTAACCTAGAACTATGTGCATCCCTTTCGCTGCTGTCAGAATCCATTATATAAATAAATGCACGCAACAAAGAACAAACAGCACCGTTAATACGCAGTTAATTAGTTTTTACAATAAAACAGGAGCAAAGATTCAACATTGATTACGCAACAAACCAACCGGGAATAGGCCACAGTAGGAATAGTAAAATATGGGCGCGAAATTGTGCGAACGCCGAACTCATGACGAACTGTTGCTGACGTTTTTTTTTGTGGTTTATGGCCTGGACTCTATGTATGCTTGACGCATCGTTGCGTGGCTCATCTCATGCAATACATCGCAACGTCGCTCGTCGATATAAAAATAATTCAAAGTGGAGATGTGTCAAACTAATTAAAAAATAGGTAGTTTTTAGGTCTAGGCTGGTAGATAGGTAGACTGAAGTGAAAATTGGTAGATCTACCAAAAAGTTGGTAGATATGACAGCACTGGTTGTCTATTTCAAAATAATATTGAACTTATGTGTATTCGAAAAACAAACTCAATACCGTGATTCAGAACTTGCATAGAAAAATATTAAACATAACAGTAACGCCATCTATGGATGAATTTGATAAATTAAATAATATTACTACAAACTTAACACAATGCTCTCCCATTTATTTGCAAACTGCGTAAACCATTAAACTCGATATTTACTCGTCATACTAACAAATTTTATACGTATTTGCAGTCGGACGGAGATATAATAACATAAGCGGTAATTGACCTAAAATCATGTTATCACAGCACAACTCTGTGTGTGTACTAAATAAATTTATCTATAGCGTACTAAATTATAAAATAATTGCAAGAGAGTGAATCGCTCTTTCTGCTCTAACCGCTGAACGGGATTTTAATGAATTTTGGAATGTAATTAAAAGAGTATCTCGGAGAAGGACACATACAGGTTACTTTTGAAGCTTTAAACTTCATTTTTGGGGTCGAACATGAGACGAAATTTTAAAGACAAAGTCGGGTACACCGTATGAATATGCAATTCCAATATTGAAAATCAAAATGGTTCCTCAAACATTTTTTGAAGTTATACTTCTTTAGCCGCGTTATGAAAAAATTATGAGAGTGAAATTTTAAGATGCGCGCGCATCACTGTAACACAAAAGTAACATAATGAAGTTAGCCGCGGGCGCGTTATGAAAAAATTATGAGAGTGAAATTTTAAGATGCGCGCGCATCACTGTAACACAATAGTAACACCATGAAGTTGGCCGCGGGCGCGTTATGAATGTTAGTGTCTAATAATGGTGGATTATTAACCACTCAGCGGTTAATAATCCACCATTATTAGACATCTGTTCGAAAGGTACTTTGAACGATCCACGGAGCTCCATAAGATGATCGCGTTGTCAAAAACAATGTTGGCACGCTCGTCGCCTCTGATCACTGTTTTCATATTTATAATATTTATCCACATGTTTCTAGTTTCTTTATAAACACAACGTGTTTTAGTTACTTACAAGTGCTAATTACATATGGACTAATAACTTAAAATCAGTAGTGATTTTAATTAAATATTTTGAATATTTATTTAATTTTTCAAATTAAAACTGAACTTAATTGACTGTGTTAACTATCCTTTTCCAGTCCTTTTATTATTTTATTGTAATTATTAATTATTTGCATGCAATTAAAAAAAAAATTAATGATGCTAAAGAAGTATAACTTCTCACACGCGTACATAAGTTACACGCATCCATTTTTTTTTCATTTAAAACATACCTTTTGGCTATTTGTACGATTAGTCGTGGATTTATAAATATATGTATAAAATATCTGATTATATCATTCAATCCGAATTCATTACCCAATAATTCACTAATAATAATTTATGCGAAGATACGGCTATGCGATATTAGGTTGACTCGACTGTTTTAATACCCTTAATTATATGCAGTTGCATACACTCTCCGATAAAAAAAACGACGGGTTGCACTCCGGGAGTGCCGGCAGAAGTGAAAACTTGAATATTAACGTTGTGCATTTTTGATATTTTGGAATGGTTGGGGAATAATTTTGCACTAATTGCTTTAATTATCAGTATAAAAGTACTATCATGTATGTGGTAGAATACAATATTTATTTATTGCGCTATCGTACACAAACATGACAATTTATATTACATTAAAAAAGTTTATCTCTCAAAAAAATCAACTTACATGAATCACGTTTAAGCGCACTTAGCGACATCTATTGTAAAGAAATCAACTTATATGAATCACATTTAAGCGCACCTAGCGACATCTATTGTAAAAAAATGCAATCGTGGACGTTCTAGATAGACTTCTTATTATAAGAAGGTAAAATAAAATATTACTATGTTTCGTCCAATATATTGAAAGTCAACACAACCTTTCCAATTTTATTGTGTGTCATGATGCAATCAACCCACGTGTTTAACCTGACGCGAGTTTAACATTTTTTACCCATACAAAAAAAGTGTACAACGCTGCTAAAGAAGTTTTCACTTCGAAAATTCTATGATCGAAGCATTTCTCACCATTGTACCTTCTGCAGATGTGAGAATACTTACTTTTAATAAAAGAGCTAATTAGCTTGTGTTTTTTGTTACCTACTTAAGGTTAATTTTTCAATTCCTTGAATGGAACTCAACTGTAAGATAAAAAAAATATTACTCAATCGTATAATTTCATCCGCAAATCAAAAATGAGATGATTTACAATAATTTCAAGGGGGCAAGGATCGAAATACTCTATCTTTAGAAGTACAGACTACCTACGAGCAGGCTATCATAAATATCCACCGAAACATTTGAATCTCAGGAAATATACCAGGGAATAATCACATTAAAATTTCCACAATCCTTCAGACTAGCGAAGCAAAGAAACTTTGATAAAATCTACTCAATTATTAATTAAAACAAACACGTTTCTAAACCGGTTTAATAATGGAAAGACAATGAAAACGAAGCAACGAGTAAAAAAGTGTCACACGGAGATGAGTCAGCTAACAAGCAGATAGTTAAAATTCGTTTAGTTTTTTATTTTATTGTAGTTTTAGCAAAAACTAATATAAAAAAGGTTTATTATAGGTACTTATTGTAATTTTAAGCATTTTACTGCTTAATTAAAAAAAACGTAAGAAATGTTTACTAGAATAAATTCTGTTGTGTCTGTACTGAGTGGATTTTTTCTAGTAAAATTTTCTTTAATTTAAAAATAAATAAGAAAAGTCTGTCTTTGCCAATCAAAATGGCTGTAATTGCAAATTTTATCAACCTTATACGATGATACAGAACCCTTCATATGGGAATTAGATAAGAACTAGATATTTTTTTTATATCGACGCTAATGTCCTATGATGTCTTGAAAAATATACCGTGACGGCCGTGCGGCCGTCATCGCAAATAACTCTAACCAATCTGCATTTTATTAATAAGCAAAACGTGTATTGTTTCAGATAAGATATGGCAGAGGACACGACAGACATTAAAGGGAATCAAGAATGCAATATAAATATTGACCAGACCAATTGTGCAGATATCAAAACTACAGAAGACTATATTGAAGAGAAGAATGATACAAAAAGATTACCAGAACCAACTAAAGTAGTAGATACCAAAATAGATGGAAATACTAAGACAGTTAATAGTGAAAATAATCAAGAAAATAATAATAGTAGTAATAAAGACACAGCCAAAAATGGAAACAACGACGATTCCAAAAGTGTCACTAAAGAAAGAAAAACTTCTAACTACTTACAAAATATCACTAATTCGAATCCAGGTCTAGTGCTGACAGATAAGGAAAAAGACGCGACACTTCTGACAGATACAAAAGTTGTATCGAGATTTTCACCAGTATGGAGACAGGTAAATGAAACCACATATGTTTATAATCAAACTACAATATTCTTTACTTTATTTACTAGGCGAAAGGTTGTGAGTTGTGTATTTTTGTAACTTCCTCACGTCTAAACGGCTGGAACGATTACAATAAAATTTGATATGGAGTTAGCTGACACCCTGGATTAATACATAGGCTACGTTTTACTGCGGGAAAATATTCCTAATAAACCGCGGGTGACATCGCGGGGCACTGCTAGTATATTAATAAATCGTAAAATGATACAAAAAATCTGTTAGTTAATCCACGGTTAGATTTTGTGAAAATTTTAGCCCTATAAAAAAACCAGAGGATGTTGAATTCTTAAGCCCATGAGGACGATGTCTAGTCATAGGACTGCCTAGAAATTTTAAAATACTTAAAAGTTGGATATGTTTTAGTTCTTTATAACCAGTACAATATATTTATTGTATATTGTACTGGTTATAAAGTACTGTCTCCAATCACACCTGAAAATCTCTGAAGTTTGCTTAATACGATTTAAACTTTTCTCATTGCATTTTATATAACCTTAATTATTATAAAAGTTTAACTAGCTATAATAAGCTTTTCATACCTTCTTTATCCCGATGATCAGTTCTCCAAACAAGAACTTTCACAGATATATATCGCAGACGTATCGCCAACGTCAAAGTTTCTAAGGAAATTAAGCAGGGCCCCTACCGGACGTAAGAACAGACTAGCTTTTCCCATAGAAACTATGACATTTGTCGAAGTTCATGCTTGGGGTACTAGTTGTCACAGGTCGTCGCCTGACCATGACCGGTGCAACCTGGTCGAAACATGTATCACTGAAGTCTGTATATCTGTTCCTGTTATCTCCTAATCCCCTAATTTGACATAGCGAAAAGATTGGTGGAGACCACTGGAGACCGCAGCGCTGGCGGCTATTTCGCCCAGCGCATAAGCCTCGCCATTCAGCGGGGAAATGCCACCAGCGTCCTGGGAACCTTTGCCGACGGGAAAGACTTAGCGCAGCTATTTTTTTAATATTTTTAATTTTTGTCTAGTTTTAGTGTAGTTTTAGTTTTATATCTAAATGTAAATTGTTTCTTTTTAAGTGATTTGTGATATATGTAGTTCTTTTACTTATAATAAAAAAAAATATCCCCTAATTATGTTTAATTACAGAGCATTGCAGCATCAGCGTCCATCCTGCTAACATTCACTGCCGGCCTTACGTCGGGATACTCGGCGATTTTGTTCCCCCAGCTAGAACTACCGGGCAGCCCGATACTGATGAACGAAAGCACCAAGTCTTGGATAGGTTAGTATATATCGCATACCATGCGTCAATTTTTTATTCGAGTATGGTTTTTATGTAAGTATAGTAAGTATGTAACATAACTTTAGCTGATAGTGACTTTTTGAATGGATAAAAGGTGCAGATCTCTCGACCGCGTCTTTTGACTTTCTTGTCTTTAACTTTTGAGCGGTTTATATCCATGAAAATATAAGAAAAAAATCTATTTAATGAAACTATTAGATCTTAGATGTATGGATGGTTGTTGGATACAAGCGATAAAGGAGATTGCTCAAATTGGCCCAAATGTACAAAAAATATTGACATATACGGTAATTCTTGGCGTTATTTATACTTTTATTTTACAGTCATTAGATTTTAACGGACACCTTTGTATAATATATTCATTTTAAAAAGGACTTTTAATTTTACCGATTTGAAAAACATACGAATCATTTTTAATGGCTATGGGTGTTGTAACATTCAGCCAAAGACTGATCGAAGTTGATTATATAACATAAAATCCAATCTATTTTGTAAAGATCGATAAAATGAAAACATTTTTTTATTACACTGCGGTATTAATATCCACAACTATATTATCATTTTCACTACATGCAAATGTGCTAAGACAATTATTATTATAGATGGTAGGCGACATCATAAAGTCTTTTGCCATAAATTTTTCGCCAAACACCTCCATAAACACATTATAAGGTGTGATACACTAAAAATCTAAAATATGGTTATAATTTAAACATAACCAAAATAATGAAGCTACTGAAGATATGGCTGTATAACCTAAATCTCTTAGCTTTCTTTGGTTAACTATTATTACTATATAACTTATTTGCGTAGACAGAGAATCTCTCTACGCTTATTTGTTTTTTTATTATTTTTTACCTATTTGCAAACATAACCTCAAAATCATTCAGTGTATATGGTTTATAGAAGTTTTTAGGGGTGTCCGTCAATAATATTCGTTTCTACAGTAATTTATATATAATTTCGAATCTAGGAAATAATTTTTCATGATTATTGATCTTTAGGCCAAACATGTATGGAAGTTGAGCAATCTCCTTTATACAGCCTATTAGTAAAAGAAAATAGTGCGATTGCTAATAATTTTCTTTCCTTAATTCCAGCTGCAATGGCGGCCCTGCCCATGGCTCCAGGGTGTCTCATATCCGGTTGGATGATGGAGAAATTTGGCAGGAAAACGTCGCATTACATAATCTGTGCACCATTCCTGCTCGGATGGATACTCATCGGTTGCGCCAACAACCTTGGCCTGATGCTGCTAGGCAGATTCTTCACTGGCCTCTGCGTCGGCCTATTGGGTCCTCTCGGCCCAGTCTATATTGGAGAGAGTAGCGAACCCAAATACAGAGGCTTCTTCCTAGCTGCAATATCCCTCGCTATAGCAATTGGCATTTTAGTAGCCCATCTAATAGGCACATTTATGACCTGGCAGTGGACTGCTACCATATGTTGTTTATTCCCAATACTATCAATAGTTTTACTCACATTGATCCCAGAAAGCCCTACGTGGCTCATAGCAAAGGGTGAGGTAGAAGAAGGCATAAAAGCCTACTACTGGTTAAGAGGCTACAGCGACGAAGCAAAGGCTGAGTTGAAAGGAATTATCGAAAAGCAAAAGGCTGCGAATTCGGAACCGGTGTTGTCTCTCAAAGAGAAAATAGTCAACTTGAAGAATCCCGAATTATTAAAACCTCTCTTCATTATGATATTGTACTTCATAACCTGCCAATTTTCCGGCGTCAACGCGGTCGCATTTTACTCGATAGAGATAGTCGAAAAAGCGGTCGGTAATGGATTCGATCGTTACTTGGCCATGATAATTATAGACTTAGTGAGAGTGGTAATGTCAGTGGTGGCGTGTGTGATTTGCAAGATGTACGGGCGTCGGCCATTGACATTCATAAGCGGTACTTGGACGGCGATCTCGATGGTCGGATTGTCGATGTTCTTGTATTTCAAGCCGGAAAATATGTCATGGCTGCCGCTAACTTGCCTGATGTGCTACATTTGCGCCATCTCAATCGGCTTAGTTCCTATACCGTGGATAATGTGCGGGGAGGTGTTCCCCACAAGAGTTAGGGGTATCGGATCGGGAATCAGTTCAGCGACGACTTTCCTCTCATTCTTCGTTGTCGTCAAAACTGCTCCTGGCATGATGACCTATTTTGGAGAAATGATGACATTCCTTTTTTACGGAATCATAGCTCTTGCTGGCACTGGTATACTGTTCTTCGTTCTACCAGAAACGAAAGGAAAGAGCTTGCAAGAGATCGAAGAGAGATTCAAGAATGGTAAAGCCAGTGGGCCTAAGGTTTAGATCGTAAGCTGCCAGAAATTATTCATTTACATTGTTATAGTATAGCTCGCTAAGCGATAATTATATGTTAATCTGTGATACTCATATTGTCAGTGATGACTGAATAAAAATCGTATTATTGTGATACTAGCCGCTTGTTTTATTTTAATTTTCAATAAGTATCTTGGACCTCTTGTAAGACATACATCAAAGATGTCTTGGCAATATGCATCATGTTCGAAAATTGCAAGTTTTTTAACAGTTGATTAAGTTTTGTTTTATCGTTATAAAATGTATAATTTAATCAAAAGAGTTTTAATTTTAGTCACTAATAAGTCAAATTGGTTAAAAATAACAAAAGAATTTAAGATTTAAAAATATTCAAAATCGGTCAACAATTAAAAAAATATATATGTTGATTGGACTGGACGCTTTTGATGAGTATATTTTGATAATGTTACCAAAATAAAATTGATAATGCGTTCTCTCGTTTTGAGAATAATGTTGCTGTTAATGAAATTTTAAGTAAGTAAGATGCTGACTTAGTTTAATTTAAATTCAATAAATCCTTTATTCTCAAGCAATACAAGTCCATTAATGTTATTAAAAATGTTCCTCAAAATCTTTGTAAGTCATTATCATTAATCTGTGTTAGTATAACCCTTAAAGCAACACCTTATCTAATTCATTTGGTATTTGTTTGGTCTAAGATGTTACACAACGTCTGGATCCTGGATATTGATAAACTTTTACTTTATGCAGTAGACAACTGAAGATTTCCAACGTTTTCTAGTGCACTCATTTGAGCATTAATGAATTTTAAGCTAAAGGAAGAAAACGCCCAGGTCCACCAACAATGTAATTAGTATAATTCCTTTTATAAAAAAATATCCTGATGGTCGAAAGATATACACATGGGCATAATTTAGTAACAAAATAAATTAATTCAATGTCATTTTGTATAATTAATAGCAATTAATATCCATAAGAATATGAGTCATATATCATATTATACAACCAGATATGCTACAAAGCCTGCCGACCACCCTGTTTTTTTTTTTGAGTGTGTAAGCTGTTGGTCCAAGATGACCTTTACAGCGTCACCGGGTTTGGGGACGGCGAGATCCTACGAGGACCTCAAGCCGAGAATTGACGAGTGCCCCTAGAGGTATTCCAGCCTAATGGCATCTCCTCACAGGGGGAGTCTCCTCTCCGTCTGGAGCCTCTAGACCACTCGAACCTGAGGGGGTGGGCTCAACTAGAGGGCGTCTCTGAGACTCGGACCTCGGCTCTAGTTAGCCGTTGTCGTGGGAGGAGGGGGGATCATCCTGCACTTGAATTGAGACGCCTCAAAACGGCTTGGCATAGGGGTACCAAGATTGATGGACTCGCAGTTGCAGTTGCAACTAATCGACTCATATACAGTCTTTCATCTTACTTCGTTGTTATTGTGATTTATTTGTTATTTTTGCTTTAAGAACATACCGACTGAAGTTAGATAAAAGCTATTACAGTGAGCACGTTCGGGAAGACGGACACTTCAGCATATTCCTATACCGAGAATCGGAACTATTCGTCGCCTAGCTTAACAAAGTATTGATGGGTCAAATCTGTGGCTTTTGCGAGCAAAAATACACTTACACAGTTATGTTTGTCATATATGGTTTTTAGGTCTGGCAAGACATGAAGAGAATATTCACAGACTGGCTCGCTCTTTAGACACTGTGATTATGGGCAAAGATTATTAAAAATATTTGCAATGAATTAAATGTTTCATAAGGAATTCCCTAGTTTCATTAATGTTCGTTCGTTATAGTACTTATGTCTATTTAGTTTAAAATAACCTAAGACCCCCGGGATGGAATTCGATGCGCTTTGGCACAGATGATCACGACTATAATAGCTTTCAAACAAATGTAGTTTAAGCCGTGACGGACGTGGACGGGACTCTTTTTGTTACATGTGAAGATATCATAATTTTTTTTGCAAAAATCATTGGAAATGTCGTATTTTGAATTACAGTATATCGTAATAAATACTTTTTGGTAGGTATATAATTAAATAAAAGTAGTTTTAACGGGTTAATGCACGAACTTTATTTATTTATTGACGTTTCGCAGCCTTTTCAGGTCTGCATCCATCCATTATTCTGACGATAAATAAATAAATAAAGTTCGTGCATTAACCCGTTAAAACTAGTTTTATTTAATGATTTAATGAGTGATGTGCGTGAAAACCTAAGAAACAAATAGGTATATAATTATCATGAATGAAAAAGAATATAGGTAATAATCAAATTAATTTATTGGTAACTATGAATGATATATTAAATATTCTTTTATTTATAAAAATATAAAAGGCGATGGCACATTAGTAACATAGAACTCAAATCTAGGTATTACATAAATGCAGATCGGTACAAACAAAAATAGTTTTTTTAATAGATAAATTAACAATAAAATTAAAATAAAGATTTGTTTGTTAATATTATTCCAATCTCCTTCCTGTTTTTAATCAAATAATGATTTTAAAAGTCAAAACTTTACATTATTAAAAAAGGACATATTTTTACAAATCTTCCGTTTCAGGGAAATATTTCAAATGATCATTAGTGCTTGTAATTAGGTTTGTGATTAGAAACGGTTGGTTTTCAAGTTTGCGGACGTCGGTCTGTTTCTACCAGCGTAGAGGCGAGTCGTGCGATCACTTGGACCTGGGTTTGACGAGCCGCGAGGCTGGCGGGGCGAACTTGGCGAAACCTTGCTGGTCGAAGACTGGAAGAAGGTCGCGGACTCGAGCTGATACTGTGCCGCCCGTGACCCTGGGGACAACAGCATTTTCATAAAATAAAAGTCACGTATTCGTACTATGTTGAGAATCTCTTATCTATTAGACAAGTCCGTCCGTCCGTCCGTCTGTCTGTGGTGCTGTTTCAGCGGCCAAACCGTAAGAGATAGATAAAGAGAATATTTAAGTTATAAGTTAAGAATAGTCTGATAAGACTACAAACCGGATTTGAGTAACGTAGCACTTCCGGTTTTCGAGAAATCACGAATTTCAAAAAAAAACCACACAAAATCTCCGAAGTTCTCAATTAATTAAATACATTTTTTTTTAATCAGGTTTTGCTGAACATTTGGTTCACTGGTTTGCTAGTTCTTTTGTAATTCCTCATGGCGGCGAAATCTGCATGTCCCGCTAAAACTAATTATGTTTCTCTGCCCCGCTCAAATTAAGGCGGAAACATATTTATATGTCGTGGCGTGTCGTGGCGTGCTCAGGCATTATTTCTCAATAGTGGATATGAGACCTATGCAGCGTTTAAATGTGTATCATATTTCCTTCTGATTTAGAAAGTGATTTTAATAAAGATAAATAACTTTTTGACGGACAAAAAAATTAAATAAAGTACTAGGTTAATAATATATTTTAATATTTCATAAATAATTTCAACAATCGGTGGCAAGCAGTCGGCGCCACATCAGAACCCGTCACGACACGGTACTGCCTCTAACCATAATCATCATCATCATCATAAGCCTATTAATGTCCTCACTGCTGGGGCACAGGCCTTCCCTATGGATGGAATAGGGAGATTGGGCCATGACCCACCACGCGGGCCCAATGCGGATTGGCGGATGCTAACGACTGCAGATGCAGCCGGGACCAACGGCTTAACGTGCCTTCCGAAGCACGGAATAAATAATTCATAACCATAATAAATATACTTAATAATAAATTAATAAGTAATAAAACGTTATGTCTAAAACCGATGTGCTTCGAGCTCGTCACGACACGCCACGACACGTAAATATGTTTCCGCCTTTAATTCCAAAATCTCCGCTTAGGCTTCCCTACTATATAGAGAGCTGTCAATTAAACCTTCACCGAGCGAATAAAGCAGACTCAATAACATGAATCTTACAAAATTATACACACTCCAATGAACTAGGATTTTTCTATTAGGTTTCAAAAATTATTATGACTATAATCTAGAACGTCAATAGGGTACATGTAAACATTTACTACATCCACCTAAAGACCACAGTTAAATAAAACAACTTATTTTATAGTTATAATTTCTATTATTTTAAAGCATGTAACTGCTTGATGTTTAAATCTAAAGAAAATATAACTAGAAAAAATTCCACGCGGTCCAGGCAGCAGACGGGACTAACCTAACCCGCAAATTTCTATCTCGAGTTCCTCCATGCTTCGGAAGGCACGTTAAGCCGTTGGTCCCGGTTGCATCTGCAATCGTTAGCACCCGCCAATCCGCACTGGGCCCGCGTAGTGAGTCATAGCCACGTCATAGCCCAATCTCTCTATTCCATACATAGGGAAAGCCTGTGCCCCAGCAGTGGGGACATAAAGAGGCTGATGATGATGATGATACATTGACGTTACGTTTACATGCTCACGAAATTTCAGGTAGAATTTATTTGTGTTTAGCAATACTTGTTGTCAGAATCAATACCGGTAAGTTTGGTTTATTCTTTAAGAGAATGGCCTTAGGGCTTCTTTCTTCTTTGTGGTCTAATTTAGTCGTTTGCCGTAAAACTAACACACACCTACTCGGCTTGATGAGCTTTGCAGCTTGAGCCGGAGTCGCCAGCTCCGTCGGAAAGTACGTCGCGCCGTAGAAGTCGAGCCCGTTCTGCAGAAGGATGTTGGCCTCCTCGATGCTGGCGAGGGTCACTCGAACCACGCTGGTGGCCTCCTTCGGGATCATGCTGCTGACCAGCTCGCCGTCGATGGTGGTGAGCGCCCGAGGCGGAGTCTTGTCCAGGGGCTTCGGGGTGGAAGTGCCTGAAAATGGAAGAAAATAAATTTAAATTCTGTTAGATCCCTTTGACTCTATACAAATATGCGCAATGATAGAGTGTCGATTATTCCAAGCTGGCAGAAAAGTTGGAGCCTTTAGAGATGCGCAGAGATTGTGGTTGCCATTGCGTATTCTGCAGGCTCTTTCACGGTGCTTCGAGGGTCATTTATTATTTCACCTGTTATAAAGTTCTGATTATACGTTACAGTATGTTAGTTACTATTTTAAATGAGTGTTTAAAGTTCCATGAAATAACTTGAATGTGCATGTCTTCCTTACTTTATTAGGCAAACTGGTACTTCGCTTTTCAGAGCAAAGGTACCGCTGAGTTTTTGCCTTCATCTGTTGATGCGGCACTTAGTTTATTTAATTCTCTTTTTACTTACATGATTTGTCTAATTTACTGCATGTGTATTATACCTATTCCCTTCAACTTTTAAACAATCATCATCATCAGCCCATTAATGTCCCCACAGCTGGGGCACAGGCCTTCCCTATGGATGGAATAGGGAGATTGGGCCAAGTACCCACCACGGGGGCCAAGGCGGATTGGAGATGCAGCCGGGACCAACGGCTTAACGTGCCTTCCGAAGCACAGAGGAGCTCGAGATAGTAAATTTTTGGTCACCCATCCAATGACCGACCACTGCGAAAGTTGCTTAACTTCAACGATCGCAGCCGAACGTGCTAACCACTTGCGCCATCGAGCTCCTCTTCCTCCTCTTAAACAATAAATAACTAAATATATAATAAATAAATATTTCCAACACTCACACCAATTAGCCTAGCCCCAAAGTAAGCTTTGTAAGGCTTGTGTTATGGGATGCTAGGGTAACGGATAGAATACTGTTCATATATAAGTATATTTATATAGAAATACATATTAAACATCCATGACTGGAGTACAAATGCTCGTATTCATCACACAAACATCTGCCCCCACCGGGATTCGAACCCGGGACCTCTCGAGTCGGCGACACCATGAAACCCGGCGTACTAACCACTCGGCCACGGAGGTCGTCAATAAATAAAAAATAAAGTCAGCAAATTTTCTAAAGACCAGACGACATCGTCGACATCGTCAAATGTGCTGAGAGCCGCTGGACGCGGAAAGCGCGGGACCGCGTATTGTGGCGTTCTATGGGGGAGGCCTATGTCCAGCAGTGGACGGAGAAAGGCTGATGGATGGATGACTCACCAGTATTGCTCTCCCTCGGCGAGCTGGTATAGTGCAGCCGCAGCACCTCCACGACGGAGGTGAACTTGTACAGGGCGTGCCTCACGTCTTCCTCCGGGACCTCGTCGGGCACGTCGTACACATACACCGTGAACGTCTTCTGTGGACGGCATGGGATCGCTATCTGGAACACGGGATTAGAGAATGTTTGGGTTAGGTGCGTTCAAGATGATCTTGGAGTATTGACAGAATCAGAATCAGAATTTTATTTGTGAAACATAGGTTAGTATACATGGATGGTGCAGAAGGAGCAGCGGAGAGGGAGCGGGAGGAGGATGCTCTAGCCGCTCCCCTCCGACGTAGACGGGTGGGCCGAAGAAGGCTGGCAGCTGTGACTGCCGGTCTTCGTCGGCCCTAAGGTGGTCTGGGCGCGGCTTGGCCGCCGCGTGCCCTTGGTGCCATTCGGCATAGGCCACCCCGTCTGGGGATTGCCTAGTACCCTAGCGCAATCCCCCAGAGGCATGTCGCCCGGTCCACTCGTTGGGCCGGGCCAGCCCGGGGGCGTCCCAGTGAAGTGGCGCACACTAAGGTGCGCTGATCCTGAGACGCCCCCATATGGGCGTAGGAGGGTACCGGTGGTTTTTAGTGGGTAGGACCGGCGTTGTTCCGCGCCGGGGAGTCCCACACACGCCGCGCGCCCAGCCAGCGCGCGGTACGGTGCGTAAATGCATTTTCCATCGTCAACAAAAAAAAAAAAAGGTTAGTATACATGGAATATAAAATTTGTGTTAGTATCACTACATTTCCACCTTAATTAAGGTATACAAATAGATATGGACCTATGAAAGAAGTACTATTATTTTTACATCGGAATCACAATTTATGAATATAATTTGAAATTGTCTATTGTTACATGCATGTCAAAAGTAGATTATAAATTAATTATAAATTTGATAAGCCATAAAGTTGTCATACCAATAGTCAAAATTTTAATGAAAAAATAAGCAAAATGTCCAAAATAGCAATAAATACACATTTCTTAACTGGATTGTCAATTTTAATATGTGTATTTTTTTTTAATAGAGAACTGCTTTTATAAAAGACATGTCCGATTTAATTACAGGATTTAAAAATCCCTCAACTGTATAGCAGACAGTGAGTAAATGAGAGATGATTCCAACTCAGAGCAACTTTGGCTTAATGTCTGGCTACCCTTGAGGCAATCTTTTTGAGTGTGAATGCTGTTGGCCGCAGATGACCTTTACAGTCACCGGGTTTAGGGACGGCGAGATCCTAAGGGGACCTCAAGCCGACAATTGGCGAGTGCCTCTAGAGGTATTCCAGGCGGATGGCCCTCCCCACAGGGGGAGTCTCCTCTCCGCCTGGAGCGTCTAGACCACTCGAGCCTGGGAGGGTCGGCTCAACTAGAGGGCGTCTCTGAGACTCGGACGTCGGCTCTAGTTAACCGTTGTCTTGGAGGTCCTTGAGACAGCTGACTCTTATAGCTATTTATATGTATATGCAACTGTTGTATAAACTCGGCTTAGTGTTGTTAAATTCTCGAGAACATTCTCTATGGTGAAACTTTGCGGTTAAGTTCTCGGGAACATTCTTCTGACCGAGAATTTATGAGAACTTTAAAAGTGAAGTCACTTTTCGGTAGGATTTACAATGTAACTAATAGATGTTTATATGTATGTACGTAATATGCAGACTGGATTAATAAAAACCCAGTTATTTATATAAATTCCCGGTAAATCCCGACTACGAGAATGTTCTCGAGAACTTTCTAGAATGTTCTCGGAAATATTTCAAGACTAATGTGATTTAATTATGATGATTTTATTACTTTTGCATTTTTCAATGTTATTTTTATACTTATGATAAACATATATATATTGGAAAAATCAACTCCGCCCCCGGATTGATATTTCCAATATTTGTCTATTTAAAATTTATCATAAGTGATTTAAGTTATTATTTATTAGTAGAGAATAATAACAATTGTTATGTTAAATAGTAATAAAATACCAAATATCTAATCAACATTTATTAAATATATATTTAAAAACATAACTGTATGATACGAAAAGTACGAAACAAACAGAACTTAAAGGTAAATAGGTAATAAAATTAAAATTAATCTTCTAGAATTCGTCTGATTGGTCTGATTAGTATCTATATTTTCAAATTCCAGCTAATGGATCGTCATCCTCATGATCACTCATCGCCATGACGACTTCTGGTTCCTCCTCGACCACAGATATTTCTGAATCAGAGTCTAAATTAAAAGATTCTGTCTCAGAATCACTTGCACGATCCCCTTCATAAGATGTACTCGGTATTTCTTGATCAAATGTTTTATTTGTTCTTGAATCGTCTCTATTTAATCTTTTCAATAGTTTCCAATTATGAGATATCAGACTGATTTTGCCCGCCCGCTCCGTAAGAAATTTATTCCTTTTTTTCGTGTGTATATTTGAAAAGGTTGAAGACGAACGTTCTACTGCAGCAAAAGTTGCCGGAGCGGTCAATATTTTAATAGCAATTGTCCCTAGATAGGTTTTTTAGTAAAGTAATTTCCACCATGCCAATGGACTCATTTTATTGGCTGTTTGCCATACAAATTCTTTGCTCCAAAGTCCAGCTCCACACTTGTAGTCTAATACCTCTTGCATCAACTGTTCTATGGGTTGCTGCTGTTCTTCCGCGACTGCTATCACAAACTGCCATCCGTCAATATTCTCATTAGGTTTAAGCATGGCCCCACGATTCCGAGGATCTAACAACGTCGCAGCGTAATGTATTGGCATTAATGATATCTTTTTTCTTTGTTCATATTTTAGTTTTAACGTAGAGTGAAAATTAGTCCCTAGAATTTCTGCCCCTGTTGGATTTTGTATCAACTCATCTAATTCTGAGAATCCTTTATAAACTAAATGTCGATTTTATAACGTCGGGGCATTTGTTACAATTATTCGTTAAATGATTAATCATTCTTGTTGCATTTCGATTTTTGTAACTTTGATTACAAAATTCGCATATATACAACACTTTTCCATTTTCATCTATTTATTTATAATAATTATAAATTTTTCCCTTCGGTTTCATTTTCAATATATATTTTTTTATTCTGTTTCGTACAAGGCACTTTTGTTGATCACGTCCGAATACTTTACGGTGCGAGTCTGTACTAGCATGTGCGTTAACCGAGCGTCTCGCGTGCAGCAAGACGGGGAGGGGAGGTGCGGGAGCAGAAATCACAAAGAGCCGCGCGGCGCGTGTCGTTTGTCGGAATTCAAAGGTTCAACTTCAATAAAGCCGATCGCCGAGGCACCCCTTGGTGTTGTTGTAAATTGAATAAGTTGTTATGGTACAAAACGAACTAATTTCATTACAAAACTTGAAACTATAACGTTCTTATTCTACATAAATTAACATCATTTTAAGTTCTCATAAATTTCCAGTGTACCGAGAACATTCTCGGTTGAACGGAAACATTTCAGAATATTCTCGATACGAGAAAGTTCTCGATTGGAGAACATTCTCTGGTCACATCACTAACTCGGCTAGGCTTTGCCTCGTGTGATATTATCACATAAGTGTAATAATAGGTACCTGATATAAACAGTTGCATACAAGATTTTATTTACACCCAGGACATGAAACCTCTATAAAAGATTATGTCGCCATGGGGTGTTCAAATAATTTAGAATTCATGAAAATTTTCGGTAATGAAACGCACGTGATTGACAATGCCCTTTTTACCCGGCTGCGCAATGCAAGAGCGCGAAGCGCGACGCGCAGACAGGGTTATGTGTTTAACAGTCTATATATGTATGTGTGTTCCTTTGTGGCACACTAGAGACCAAACGCCTGGACCGATTTTGATGATTCATACATCAATCGATTCGTCTCAATCATGGGAGTGCTACTAAAGATATGATAGTAATCAAAATTTAATATGGGCAAAATTAGGCGCCATATTGTGACGAAGTAAAAAAAATAAGTTGACAAAATATGTCGAGTGGGGTATCACTGTCTAGATAATCAAAAATCATATTTAGGTTCCTGACACCATTTTTCATTTTATATGATTGTTTAGGATCTACAACGCTTTAAAATTGTATATTTCACTTACGCTTTTAATTTCAATCTTACGTTTGTATGGATCTTTGTTACTCTTTCACCTAAAAAATACTGAATGGATTTTAATGAAACTTAACAGTTATATAGCTCATATATGATAATTACATATATATAATAATTTATGTAGTTACTGAATGGCCAATATATAACAATAAGGTGTCACGTGAGACGGAAAAAATCTCCCATCTGCGAGCCATTTTGGCCTGCACTGCAAAAACAATAAAAGTTACATGAATGTAATGTAGAGTGAAAATGTATCTCTTAAATAGTTCTAAAAAAAAGTCCGTGACACCATATATCTATTTTTAATGTGTAAGTCATTACCGCTAAAATAGTGAATCAAAACTAAAATATTATTTGATATCTATTTCCAAAATGCACATTTTGTATTAACAAATCATTTTTTATCAAAACAAATACTTTTATCGCTTTTGATATTTAAAGACGATAAACTTTGCTTTTGACACTATGTCATTTCGACAAATATTTAAAAAGTTACAACGATGACAAAGCGATAGCGCGGTGTACTATGTAAAAGAAAAAAAAATGGGGTATTCGCAGTATCTGATCCTAAACGAAGTACTAACAATAAAACTGTGATACAGTTCCTTCTTATTAAATGATGAATATTATCATAATAGGTATTTATGATTATTGAATTTTAATGAAAAACTCAGAATTTTACTGTTTTTCATTTTTTTAACGATATTACTTAATGTTACAAAAAAGGTTTACTTAATATAATGACAAATAACCCATTTTTCGCTAGTAAGTACATACTTATTGGAATCCCTGTATTTATTAAGCAGCTCGCGATAATATTGGTTTTGTAATTATAAACGATAATTCTGCAAAATTCAAAGTAAATAATGTAGATTTTTATAGGTAAATCACCCCTTTCATCACCCTACGCCTATAAGTATTGCGATGTTGTAGCTAAGAACCAAGTTCCCATCTACTTCTATATGGGAATTCATTATATTCGATTTAGCTATTAGGACACGGAAGCGCAACAAACAAACTCACTTTCGCATCTATAATATTATATTATACTTACTAGTGATCCACCCGGGCATTGTACGGGCGAAATTTATTTATCGGGATAAAATATAGGACAAAATGTATTTAAATAAAGAAAAATGTTATAATAAATAATGTAGCTACCTTATGATGAATTAATATTTGAAACCGGTTCAGTAGTTTGAAAGATTATTTGTTACAAACATACAAATCTTGCCTCTTTATAATATTAGTATAGATAGTTAGGATAAGATAAGTATTTAATTGATGAAAAAGATTTAAAAATAAAGTAAGTAATAGGTTTATTTGATTATATTTGTAAAAGTTACTTAGCATTTGTGCTTAACAGTGATAAGTTATTCGGTATTTTTTTAAACAAAAAAAAATTTGGAAAATAATTGCCATGATTGCACTACTGGGAGTACTCTTCATTCGAGCTTTACACTACCAATAAAAAAGGGTCGAACACAAAGTCTTTGACCTGTTAAATGTGAACGCTTTAAAAGAAAACTACAAAGAGAACTATAAATTGATAATAAATGAGATTGCTATGGTGCTCTAACTTACGTTATGAAAATTTTATTATGCGCCTTTAGTTTAATCAAATATCATAAACTTTGCTTTGGTGATTGCATAATTATTTAATTTAGTGATCTAAGGCAGTTGCCTCCATTGTCCAAAACAACAGACGGGAATTACTGCTTTCTTCAACCTGCGACATAAACGTCATTGATTGGTATTGTACATAGGGTGATTAAAAACATTTGAAGTTAACTTCTGGCATCTACATATTGGGTTTCTGTGAATTATGTAGGTATATCAAATTATGAGACTAGGGACTGACACTGAATTTGTGTATATCGTCTTAGACGTCCGGCATTGACATGACAATGCAGCCACTGCCAATTTTAAATAGTCGACGAATAAAAGTAAATGAATTTTATATTTACTGCTAAACTATTAAAAAAAAACATAAACAAAAGATGACTTTTTGAGTAAGTGCTAGTTTACTATAAAATTTACATACATTAGCGATATTTATGTAACGACTTTATTTAACTTCACACATTTTTGCGAAAATTGAGGCCCATCTGTAGCCTTGACCCCGCTCTTTATATGTCTTAATAAATCAATCTTTGAGGCATTGTCCTAATACAACGCGATAACGCGAATGAGCGATGCGATCATAGTACGAGTCGACGATCAAACATATTGATCTAGAATAGGTGTCCTAATAGGCGATCGCGCGATGCATTCGCGCGACTAAAATGTTTAAAAATCTATTCGCGCGAACCGAGTTCGCGCGAACGCGCAATCAAACCTTTTAATGATGAATAGGTGTCCTAACTGAAGTTCGCGCGATGATCGCGTCGCATCGATAGGAAGCGGGGAGAGGGGCAGGGCTAACCCGTTCCGTATTCGCGTTCTATTAGGACACCCAGTTCGCGATCACGCGATGGTCGCGTCGTTTAAACGCGCGATGATCGCGTTATCGCGTTGTATTAGGACAATGCCTTAGACCGACGCAAGGTACTTAATAATTCCCGCGATATTAATTCCCTTACTGAAGTAGAAGAAGTGACTACGGTATATACCGTCTTAAAATACTAACTAACTAAAAAGTGTGAAATAAAAAAGGTAAATTTAAAAAATCAGAAAACCCGACTGCTTAATTATTATACTTCAAAAAAAACTGAAAAGAAAAAAACAAGTCCAGTAGTCTATAATTCTGTTAATAAGGAACAAAGCTACTTTAACAGTCGGGACCCATTAGATATTCAAGAATACATAATATTTTTAAACAGTCCACCCTCATGTAAAGTGACAGTAAAGTCAAGACGCGAAGAAAGAATGAAAATTTATGATTATTCTACAGACCTGGGAACGCCACATCACTATTCCACTTGTACACTAAATTAATTTTTTTTTTTTATAAAAAAGAGTCAAATTAAACCTAAACATTGGTCATTTCCATTTTTTTACGAAATGCTCAAGCCATCTCATCTTAAGGATTAGTAAGTAGAAGATTCAATTTCATAAAATTAGATTTGTATAATTTAGTTAGTATTTAATGTAAAGAAAATATAACTAGAAAAAATTACACGCGGACCAGGCAGCAGACGGGACTCGAATCCGCAATCCGGGCGAATGCACTGACCAATTATGCTACCGCTAGAAGAATTTCGACAGAATGTCAGGGCCGCGGTAGCATAATTGGTCAGTGCATTCGCCCGGATTGCGAAGGGTTAAACATCAAGATTTTAGATTTAAACATCAAGCAGTTACATGCTTAAAAATATATGTATATATAGTATTTTATGATTATACGACAAAATAACTTAATACAGTAACAAGTATAAAAATACAGTATAATGTTATTTTTAGGAATACTGTAGAAGGGCGAAGAGAGATACAGCTATGGCATTAGTAATGAGGGCTCTTAAAATGAAGGCCATATAATTAATACAAATGACAGCTGAAACAAAATAATTATTGAATGAATTACATGTTAGTAGTTTCACAAAAAAGTTATGAAGCAATATGATAAGTTGAAAAACTTCAAAGCAAGCATCTTTAAAACACTAAAAGAAGAAACACACCAATATAACTTCTTTAAGTGAAACTTCATTTCGGATGGGGTGTAAATGTGATTGGGTGTGTAAGTTGAAGGGTTATTCGGCAAAGGCTGAAACGCTACGAGCATCACGAACTTCACACGCGACAATATATACATACATACATATATAGGACTGATGCGTGCGCTGCTCCATTCGTGGTGGTCCGTGCACATATTAATTTTATCAAAACAACAGTTGAAAACTTTTAGTTTCTATATCAGACTTAACCCGTTTTTACTCCTGCCCCTTTTAATCAGACTATTGGTCATTTATTTATTGATTTATGGACCATCAACACAGCTATATTCATACAAACAAACTTACACATATGCTTAAGTATTGGGATATAATATAACTGTAATTAAAGATGGCCTCATCATGCACTAAACACTAAACAGTTTTTTTTTTACATTTTCTACATACGGAATTTACTACACAACACAAATATTTGCCCAATCACAGAATAACCACAACAGTCTTTCATGCTCTATAATTATTTAAAAGGAGAGAACACTGCCAAATATGGTCGTAAGTTCAGAGAACTACTTACGTACCAGACCCATTATTGGCAAACTAATTTTATTAACAATAATATTAAACAGTTAAGTATCTTAATAAAACTAGTTTTTCACGGGTTAATGCACGAAACTTTATTTATTTATTGACGTTTCCCAGCCTTTACAGGCTGCATCGTCGGAATCAAATTTTTATTTAATTTTGTCGAACTACCTTCGTTTCTTAGTTCATTTTGTTTGCATAATTTAACATAAGAAGGAGATAGAAAGCCTCTCTTGAGTTTGTTTCGTCGGTTCTTCTCAGAAAGGTCTCCCAATTTTGGAACCGGTAGTTTACGGTAGTTAGGGTCAAATAAATAAATACAAAATTACAAAAAAGATTTTTAAATAAAGTACTTTATTAACTAAATTAAGAAATAAATACGTACATAGACAATAAAACTTTAAAAATCGAACAATAAAATAACCGAATGCTCAATAAAAGCCTTTTCGAAGGTAGCTCGACAAAATTAAATAAAAAATTGATTCCGACGACGCAGTCTATAAAGGCTGCGAAACGTCAATAAATAAATAAAGTTTCGTGCATGAACCCGTGAAAAACTAGTTTTATTTAATGAGTGATGTGCGTGAAAACCTAAGAAACAAATAAGTTAAGTATCTACTTTCTCAGTATTCTAAATATTTTATTAGATTTCGTGTTGACTAGTAAAACCACTTACCTTCCTATAGAACCTAGATCCGGTGACCTTGTGGAATCCTTTCTTGAACACCATCTGGTAGTCATCGACGCTCGAGAACTTGAACAGGATCCCAGTTGCAGTCTTGGTGAGGGAGAAGCAGCCCTTAAACTCCATCTTTTCGCAGATAGCAGAGGCTTTCTCCATACTGAGCCCGTGGGAAGGAGTGAGCAGGAAAGCACCTTTCGTGAGGAAATGCTCCGAATCCGAGATATCGGACTCGCTCTCTCCGCCCTTCATCAGTGTGTGGATCTGTTCCTTCCACATGTAAGAGTCTGACATCTGTTGAGAGAGTAAAATGAAGGATGAATAATAATAATAAAAAATGATGTGGTGTCGTGGGACACCAGGTAGGAACGAAGTTCCTTCGGCTAATGTAGAATCGACACAAATTGCAAACTCGCTTGTGTATGCGACTGTCGCGCCTGCGCACGTCTCATTTAACGGTTTTATTCCACGCACTTTTTTCCACGAATTTTTTCTTACGGTTTTACTATCACATTTTTTTCAGTTCGGTCGCGCAGCAAAATCCCTATCCCCTCCAAGCCTGCCGTAAGGAACTTCGTCGCGCCTGGGCACGTCTCATTTAACGGTTTTATTCCACACACTTTTTTCCACGGATTTTTTCTTACGGTTTTACTATCACATTTTCACATTTTTTTCAGTTCGGTCAGCTAGTGTTCGTAAAGATTGCTAGGCAGGACTGGTCCACAGATTATAATAAACTACAATGTCACAATAATCCAGTAATGCAGCCCCGTCGCTCCGCCACCCCCTGGACTTAAGCACAGTTTAGTATAATATACGACAATAATCCAGTGTTGGTATAATGCCACAATAATTTGGGGTTGCACCCCCGTCCCCTATAACTTCACACATATTCAGTGTTGGTGTAATATCACAATATTTCAGTGATGCACCCTCGTCGCTCTACCACCCCCTATGCGCACGTCTCATTTAATGGTTTTATTCCACGCATTTTTTCTTACGGTTTTACTATCACATTTTTTTCAGTTCGGTCGCGCAGCAAAATCCCTATCCCCTCCAAGCCTGCCGTAAGGAACTTTCGTTCCAATAATAACATTATTTATTTTTCTCCAACAATCTACATGTTACAACTTATAATTTAAACTATATTTGTAGATTTCATAAGATTGCGAGAGACTGGTACCTGAACTAAGCGAAAGCTTGTATCTCAGTGCACCAGTACCCTCCTCTTCGTAAGGTGACCGTTTTATCTTAACAAAGTAAGTTTCTACATATAAAAATACCTGTAGGAGAATATACATACCACATATATCCAAATAATGACTTGATTGACAATGATCGGTACTAGAGTCAAGACAAATTTATATTAAGTTAATTACAAGCACATTTTTATGGAAGAAGCAAAGAGTTATACAGTTAGTATAATGGATATTAACGGGATTGTCACCATGTACCCTGCTTTCCATGAGTAATAATAATAATTTCTTTATTTCTTCTCTCACATAACAATACATCATTAACTTAACCTTAATACTTAAATCTAGTTATGTGAGAGACTGGCGTCTGTACTAGGAGACCTGTATTACAGATTACCAGTCTCTCCACCTCCGAACCGTCTATAAGGAACTCAAATACGTATTAATTCCTAAGTGAAATACAAAAACATAAATGTGAGAAAAAAATAAACAAAAAGAAGGCAGTGTGTTTGTGTGGGTGTATGTGATTGTGTGTGTGTGTGTGCGTGTATGTATTGTGTTGTTTATTATAGTGATTCATTGCGTTTATAAGACTTTGTAGTATGAGTGTGTCTCTGTTTGTTTAACTCTTATTTTATTAAGCATGATTGCAAGAGAGTATGAATGTACATTTCACGAGATAACAGCCAAGAGTTTCTCTGTTGTAAAGTAATCCAGGGATTTTAGCCAATCGGTAGTAACTCTCTTGCAATCATACTTAATAAAATAAGAGTTATTAATGATATTAATGCGGTAATTTGGTTATTACAAACGAGTAGACGAATGAAAGCCTACCATAGTCACTAATTTGTAAATACTGTAGGAAGGCCAAAGGGGAAGAACTTCCTCCAAGCTGGGTGATGGTTGGTAGCTCGGGGGCCGCGGCCCAACTGATGTTGGAGGGGCATCGTATATTTGGAGTGTTAGCATCCGAATTTTACTTGCGCGATTTAGGCTTCCATACGTATTGAACGCAACGCCGGTGGCGCCATCTCTTGAGGCGGCGAGTGACTATGTCCTCCATGTTGAGTATACGTGGGGCAATGGGACATGTAGATGTCGCCGCCACAATACCAATTTCGCATGAATGACATACAACGTTATAATTTTTATTATTTTTAAAGCATGTAACTGCTTGATGTTGGTCAGTGCATTCGCCCGGATTGCGAAGGGTGCGGGTTCGAGTCCCGTCTGCTGCCTGGTCCGCGTGGAATTTTTTCTAGTTATATTTTCTTTAGATTTAAACATCAAGCAGTTACATGCTTTAAAAATAATAAAAATTATAACTATAATTGCTATTTCTTCTTTCAAATGTTTAATACTTGTAAAAGTATTCATTTGACATTGTGGGTTTACCTATAATGCGAAGAGATGGCGCTGCCTTGCAGCTTAAGAATAGCTAGAAAGAATTTCGACGCGGTCCGTGAGGGCCGCGGTAGCATAATTGGTCAGTGCATTCGCCCGGATTGCGAAGGGTGCGGGTTCGAGTCCCGTCTGCTGCCTGGTCCGCGTGGAATTTTTTCTAGTTATATTTTCTTTAGATTTAGACATACAACGTTTTTCAACACATTTGCGAGAAAACAGTACTTATACTTTATTTAAGTAATGAAGCAAACTCTTTCTATTTCTATTAAGGAAATGGAGCGCATTTAAAATGGCGCCACGTGCGTGTGACGAAAATTAGAACTACATCATTCGTCTCTTTTTCGTTTAAAAAGTTTAGTATAGATTAAAAGCGCCGCGCCGCCAAGGAGGTTCGATCGAATTAAAAAAAACCGCACCATGTATGGGAGGAGGAGCTCGATGGTGCCAGTGGTTAGCGCGTACCACTGCGATCGTTGAATTTAAGCAACTTTCGCAGTGGTCGGTCATTGGATGGGTGACCGAAAATTTACTATCTCGAGCTCCTCCGTGCTTCGGAAGGCACGTTAAGCAATTGGTCCCAGCTGCATCTGCAGTCGTTAGCACCCACCAAACCAACTGGGCCCGCGTGGTGGGTCATGGCCCAATCTCTCTATTCCATACATAGGGAAACCTGTGCCCCAGCAGTGGGGACATAAAGAGGCTGATGATGATGATGTATGGGAGCATGCGGTAAAATGTTTTACCACAGGCTCCGTTGTATGGCCAATAATTTTGAACTTTCGAACAATGTATACGTATACATTCTCCGTAAATGCATTTTTGGAGCAAATGTGCTGAAAAACATATTATAATATCATAATTTATAAAAATAAAACTTTTTAAACTCTTTTGAGTACTTCAAGATTTTTCCAGACTTTTTATAATATTAATAAGGCATTGTTTTTGATAATATTAATATGTTTTTGGAGTTTACTCCTTAAGAATCGATTTGCATATACTATAAGGGGCCCGGTATGAGAAAAATGTGAGGAGTAAAATCTATCGATGAATGACCTCGTTACGTTTTTGGTGCGCATCCTATGTCGCGCAACTTTGACAAACAAAGATGACGGATTGACATTAATTTTTTTTTTAAATCAGAACTGAATTTAGATATTGTTTCTGATAGAGCAATGGGGACAACGAGTAGTACAACCATTGATGCGGTATTTTCAAGATTCCTGAACCACGTATCTACGAACGTCCATGTGTTATTTTAGTTACAATAAACCACTTGTCACTGTAATTAATAATGCAGACAATGTTGATTTAATTAATATTTAAAAAAATGATAATAGTCTGATAATGATAATTACATAATTTATCAACATTCCTAATGATATATTTATGCACATCTGAAATTGACTATTGTAAAAAGTTTAATGTATAATAGTTATAATAAATGTATATGAAATGAATAAATATATATTTATATATGAATATTATTTTCATTAATTTGTTAATTTACCCTTTCATACAGTATCAATCTTTTTTAAGTTAAATAAACTCTTTTTGCGTCTGTTTAGACTATCGAACTTAAGAAGTAAACTCCATTCGTGCGTCGGAGCTGACACACACATTTTTTTTTTCTCAAAGTCTATTAATGTACAAGTAACCCTTATAGTTTCGTCATGTCCGTCTGTCTGTCCGCCCCCGGTTATGCTTTGAGAATAGACTCCGGTTTTGTTAGCACTAGAGAGCTGTAATTATATGGAGATATGTATATACTTTGTATGGATATTGTAAAAATTTTGTAATTATTTCAGAAGAACAGTCGGTCGGATAGCGAAGGGTTATCTTTAAATTTCAAATAATTTTTATTTGAATACTTAGGTGTATTTAGATACAAAATAATTACAAAGGTCCTTCATCATCATCATCATCAGCCTATTAATGTCCCCACTGCTGGGGCACAGGCCTTCCCTATGGATGGAATAGGGAGATTGGGCCATGACCCACCACGCGGGCCCAGTGCGGATTGGTGGGTGCTAACGACTGCAAATGCAGCCGGGACCAACGGCTTAACGTGCCTTCCGAAGCACAGAGGAGCTCGAGATAGTAAATTTTTGGTCACCCATCCAATGACCGACCACTGCGAAAGTTGCTTAACTTCAACGATCGCAGCCGAACGCGCTAGCCACCTGCGCCATCGAGCTCCTCACAAAGGTCATCATAATGTAAAGGTTAACAATGACAAAGGTCATTGTTAACTAATAATAATATGTAGTGACCGCTATCATAACAAATTATAAAAATCTAATTAAATTAAAAAATAAAGCGTGTCTCAAAACCTGAAATGTGTTTTATTTTGTCTTCAAATCAAATCAAAAATAATTTATTCAGTCTAGGCTGTTACAAGCATCTGTAAAGCTCCAAAAGTTACACCATCGGTTCGAAAATCTATATACGGAAGGAGACCTCTTCTACTGAGAAGAACCGGCAAGAAACTCAACAAGGGCTGTTGTTTCTCATATACAGAGTGGTGAACTTTGAAACCAAACTTAATTTGCTATTTGTTACAAATATACAAGCAATTATCGTTCATTTAAGAAACTCTCAAAGATTTTTTACTCTAATCACAACCCAAAAATTATGCGTCTCTCCAACTCAAAACATTGATTGATTTGTGGTCCATAACGGCATTAAAACTAAACT